CCCGCTCGCGGAGCCCAGTAGCGCGGGGAAGCTACAGAACCCGGCACGCACACACTCACACCCACACGCACGGACTGCCTCACACCGCCACACACTCACCCCATACACAGTCACACCGCACGCACACTACACACACCCACACTCACGGACTCCCTCACACCACCACACACTCAAGTCACTCGCACCACAGAACACCACACACACTGACAGCCACACTCACGGACTCCCTCACACCGCCACACGTACCGCACAGACACCCACACTCACCGACTTACACCGCCACACACTCACACCGTACACACTCGGTCACACCACACACACTACACACCCACCGACACTCACAGACTCCTTCTCACCACCACATATACTGCACACACTCAGCCACTCACACCACCACACACCACACACTGACACCCACACTCACGGACTCACACTCCACACACACACCACACACACACACACGCACAGACTGCCTCATACCGCCACACACTCACACCACACAGTCACACCACACACACACGCACAGACTGCCTCACACCACCACACACTCACACCACACAGACTCAGTCGCTCACACCGCCACACACCACACACACTGACACCCACACTCATGGACTTACACTGCCACACGCTCACACCGTACACACTCGGTCACACCGCACACACACCACACACACACTCATAGACTCCTTCTCACCACCACACACACTGCACACACTCCGTCACACCACACACACGCATACACTGCACAAACACCACCACACAGTCACACTGCACAGTCACACTGCACAGACACTACACACACACACACTCAGACTCACTCACACCACCATACACTCAAGGACTCACACCACCACACACACTGAGTCACACTGCATGTACAATACACACACACACAGATTCACTCACACCACCACACACTCACACTCATGATGGACTCACTGCTACACACTCACACCACCACACACTCACACCACCACACACACACTGCATGCACACTACACACCCAGGGCACACAGTCACACCACATGCATACTACACACAAATCACACACATTGCACATTTTCACACTGCTATCCACTCATACCATACACATACCCACACACTCCACTGCAGACACAGCACACACATTCACACCACCACTCACACCACACACACTACATACAGCAGTCACACTGCATGCATACTACACACTCAGATCACACACACATCACCCACACACCAGCACCCACTCACACCATACACACATGACACACTAACACCACACACACACTCACACCACACTCATTCACACATACTACACACTCACACGACCACAGTTACACTACACAGACATTGCACATTCACACACACACCCTCATTCACACTACCATACACACACACCACCACATTCACACCACACACGCACACGCTTACCCACCACACACAGTGCACACATTTATACCACCATACACTCACAGTGCACACATCCACACCACCACACTCACAGTGCACATTCACACCAAAAACACACCACACACACACTACACACACACACCACCACTCACCGCACACACACACCACCACACATTCATGCCACCACACACTCACACTACACACACTACCACACCCAGTCACACCACACACTACACATGCACACAATACTACACAGTCACACACACCACACCAGTCACACCACCACACACTCAGTCACAACACACACACATCCACACTCACACAGTCACAACACACACACATCACACATACCTTAACTACACATACTCACATTGCACTGACTCACACTACACACTGACAGTATGCTCATACTGCACACACATCTTCAGAGTGCACACACCACCACTCACACCACACACTTTTGCACTACACACACATTGCATACATATTATGCACCCACCACATTCACACCACACACTGATGGTATATACATTCATGCTGTGCATTCACTCACACCACATAACACACACTCATTCTGCACACACATGTTCACACTGTACAAGACCACCACTCACACTGCATACTCACACCACACACAACACATACACTCATAGCACATACACCACACACACCACATTCACTCACTCATAGCACATACACCACACACACCACATTCACTCACAGAACACACATCACACAGTCACATCACACTGGGAATACACACTCATTGCACACATACACACCACATACATACACACTCATACACCTTACACACATGCTTACACATGTAGCTATATACACATACACACATTCACATGCAGTCACACCATACATCCACTGTATACACACTCCCACTGTATACACACATATAGTCACACACTCACACACCCACACACCGGCAGCTCTCTGCTCAGGTCTGCCTGGCCCGAACAACCCTGAAAACAACACCCAGCTACTCCGGTCTGAAATTCCCCTCCTGAAGAAGTCCCACCCAACCAGTAATGTCCTACAGTCTAAACAGCCTGAACTGAATTTGAGCCAGAAGTGGATACCACGTTATGTCTTGGGGTGGATGTCACTAGAAAATACATATTTGCTAGGACTAAGGAGCCCTGGTGGCATAATGGTTGAGCACCTGGCTGCTAACCAAGAACTCGGCAGTTTGAATCCACCAACTGCTCTGACGGAGAAAAGACCAAGCAGTCTACTCCCATAAAGATGACAGCCTTGGAAACCCATGAGCTGTTCTACTTCATCAGGTAAGATCACTGTCAGCTGGGATCCACTCGAGAGCACCCAACATTTACCAGCCTAGCTCCCCGTGAAAGCCATGAGAGTGCCTCTGCAGGTGGTATCTCGCATGTGGTGATGAGTCTTCATGAGCTGGTCTTCTGCAGAGAAGATGGCATAGCATCGTGTAAGCCAGCAGCATTCCCGTATCAAGGAGTTGGCATTGATGCAGCCCTCCTTCGTTCTTCAGCATGTACTAAGCACATTGTGACTGCGTGACTTCGCGTATTTGTAGTTTAAAAAAATGGCCAAGATCGGCATCATTTCTTCCCCGATTCAAGGAATAAAGTGTCTCATATAGTCAGAACAGCAGTCATTCTTTGCCAGGCTCAGCACTATTTTCTATTTTTGCCTATTTGCAAAGTTTTCAAATCAGTTTCAGATTTAAGAACTCCTGCTTAAATAGGAATAGAAGGGATATTCCTCAACATAATAAAGCATATTTATGCAAAACCAACAGCCAACATTATTCTCAATGGAGAGAGACTGAAACCATTCCCCATGCAAACAGGATCCAGACAAGGATGCCCTCTATCACCACTTCTATTCAACATTGTATTAGAAGTCCCAGCCAGGGCAGTAAGGTAAGAAAGGGAAATCAAAGGCATCCATATTGGTAAGGAAGAAGTCAAACTATCCCTATTTGCTGATGATATGATCACCTAGAAAACACAAGAGATTCAGTCAAAAATCCACTGCAACTAATTGAGAGAGTTAGCATCGTGGCAGGATACAAAACCAACATCCAAAAATCAGTTGGGTTCCTCTACACCAGCAAAGAGATTGATGAAAAAGAAATAAGGAAATCAATACCATTTACAATGGCTACCAGAAAAATAAAATACTTGGGAAGACATCTTACCAGGGACACCAAAGACTTGTACAAAGATAACTTTAAAAAAAACTACTTCAAGAAACCATAAGAGATGTACATAAATGGAAGAACATACCATGCTCGTGGATAGGAAGATTGAACATTGTGAAAATGTCAGTCTACCCAAAGCAATCTACACATTCAACACAATCCCAATCCAGATCCCATCAACATTTTTTAAGGATGTGGAAAAAAACAATCACTAACTTTATATGGAAAGGAAAGAGGCCTTGGATAAGCAAAATATTATTGAAGAAGAACAAAGTAGGAGGTCTCAGAGGTCTCACACTCCCAGATCTCAAAACCAACTATCCAGCCACAGTAGTCAAAACTGCCTGGTATTGGTACAATGACACAGACATAGACCAATGGAATAGAATTGAGAACCCAGAAATAAATACATGGACCTATGGTCAGCTGATCGTTGACGAAGGGCTGAAATCCATTAAATGAGGAAGAGATTGTCTGTTTAACAAATGGTGCTTGCAAAACTGGATATCCATTTGCAGAAAAGTGAAACAAGATCTGTACCCCACACCATACACAAAAACTAACTCCAGATGGAACAAAGACTTAAATGTGAAACCTAAAACTATAGAGTTCCTGAAGGAAAATCTAGGGGCAAATTTAGGACTCGACGGCACATAACAACAACAACAATATATGGCATAAATAGACTATCAAGCATAACCCAAAATGTACAAACCATAAAAGATAAAATAGATGAATGTGACCTTCTAAAAATTAAATTTTTATGTGCTTCCAAAGACTTCTCCAAAAGAGTCAAAAGAGAACCTACAGATTGGGAAAAAATATTTGGCAATGACATATCTGACAAGGGATTTATCTCTAGAATTTATAGAAAACTCCAGCACCTCAATAACAAAAACACAAATAATCCAATTTAAAAAAATGGGCAGAAGACATGAATAGACACTTCACCAAGGAGGATATTCAGGCAGCCAACAAACATAAGAAGAAATGCTCACGATCATTAGCTATTAGAGAGATGCAAATCAAAAAAACAATAAGATACCATCTTGCCCCAGCACTAGTAGCAAAGTTCTACAAGACACACACACAAAAAAAAAACAAATGCTGGGGAGGATATGAAGAGATTGGGACTCTCATACACTGCTGATGGGACTGTAAAATGATACAACCACTGTGGAAAGCAGTATGGTGATTCCTTAAAAAGTTGGAATTAGAAATACATTTTGACCCAGCCATTCCATTACTAGCCATATATCCTAAAGAAGTGAGAGCCAGGACAAGAAGAGACATATGCACACCCATGTTCATTGCAGCACTATTTGCAATAGCAAAAAGACGGAAACAACTCAGGTGCCCAACAACAGAAGAATGGATAACCAAACTATGGTACATACACACAATGGAATACTATGCAACCCTAAAGAATAACCTAGATTTTAGATATTTGAAGTGACCAAGGCCACAACCATTTTGAATCTTTACAAATGGCAACCATTTTGGATTTTAAAGTGATAGCATTCTCATTTGGATTCCAGGGACCTAAGAATAGCCTCTATTTGCCAGGGTCGGCAAGGACATACAAGAGGCTGACAACAGGAAAGGAGACAGGTGATGAATATATAAGTGCTGTCAACTAGTGCATAGAGGAGCACAGCACAGTACCCTGCCTGTATAGATAACATACAAAGAAAACAAAAATTGTGGGCAAGTTGCTCCAACATATAATCACCAATTAAATGTAAACACAAAAACATCACAATGCCTCAGAGACAACAGAGCATCACAGTCCACACAAAGAAGCAAGATAAAGCAGGAGAAACAAGGGA